TCAACCTTTGTTTTTCTAGGTCATACTCTAGATTCCTTAACATTTTGAATCAGTTCTTTTTCAGAGGACTATCTTCATTACGAGTTTATGTTTAAATACTGTTTTGGTTTCTACGTGATAATCTCTAGTATGATGAAAAAGCTGCTGAAACCTCTAATGTAAGATAAATCAAGTTTCAGTGGAACCTCTATTGAGAGTTGAAAGAAGCTACTATAAAATTCTAATGTAAGATAAAACAAGCTACTATGAAACCTCTCTTGTGTGACATACAAGCTACTATGAAACCTCTCTTGTGAGAGATACAAGCTACTATGAAACGTGTGTGATATATAAGCTACTTTTTAACATCTTGTGTGAGATAAAACCTACTTTCAGTGCAAGATAAAACAAGAATCTGTGAAACCTGTAGATTGAGTTGAAATAAGCTACTTTTTAATGTCTAGTGTGATGAAGCAAGCTTATGTGAAACTTTTATAGGGTGAATTGAAAAATGTTTCTATGAAACTTCTAGTTTGAAATTAAATAACCTTATTTGAAGCCCCCTAATGTGATGAATCAAACTTCTATGAAACCTCCAGTATGACATGAAATAAGCTTCTGTGAAATCTTTAGTGTGAGATGAAAAACTTCTGTGAAACCTCTAGTGAGTTGAAACAAGTTTTTATGAATCCTCTAATTTGGAATGAAACGAGATACTGTGATACTTTCAGGATGAGATGAAGCAAGCTTCTGTGAAACCTTTGGTATGACGAAACAAGTACCCCCCCCAGTAACTCAAGGGTATGTCTGCGGACTTACAACGCAAGAAACCGGGTTTCTATACCCATGTTGGGCAGAGCACAGATAGCCCATTGTGTAGCTTTGTGCATAATTATAAACAAACAAACGAAACAAGCTTCTGCGACACTTCTAGTGTGATACAACAAACTTTTGTGAACTCTCTAGTATGATGAAACGTTCAGAGATGAAATAAGCCTCAGAATAGCAGAGATCAAAAACATATTATTTAAAAAAAATTTGTTTGTTTGTTATGAATTTTCGCGCAAAGCTACACGAGGATTATCTGCACTAGCCATCCCTAATTTAGTAGTGTAAGACTAGAGGGAAGGCAGCTAGTCATCACCACCC